ACCATGAGTGGTAGCAGGTCGAGAGGTGATGTCATGGTTCGAGTGCCATGATGTGAGGTGAAATGAGAAGAGGGAACATGGTTCGAGTACCATGATTCGTAGAAGATTAAGAGGAGATAACATGGTACAGGTACCATGATTCATAGCAGATCGAGAGGTGGCCACGCGGTTTGAGTACCATGACATGTGGCGGTTAGTATTTCGGATTTTTTTTACCGGTTATTCCATGGGGATTGTCTAGACTGAGATCAGTGGTGAATGAGTATGGGGCCAGAAGGCCTTGATGAACAAGTTTTAGTAGAGCATCCCTTGAAAAGGGAAATCGAGTGAGATCTGAGGGATTGTGGGTGATATGCCAGTTGGAGTCGCAAGACTCAGGGATGAGTAGGAATGGTGCATTATGGGAGAATACGGTCTGGGTTGGGCGACCGGCCGATAGTGGAGAGGTCACTTTCTGTGACCCGAGTGGTGATATTTCCGTTTCCTGTGGGAGACGTAAGAGGTGATGAGATTTCGGTTTTTGAGTTTGCGGGTGAGCTCTGTGGAATTTCACGGATGGTGATCTCTAACCAGAGTATATGGCAGTAGGTCTGCCGCGAGGTAAAGGTATAGCTTGAACAGGTCGTCAGTGGGGACTGAGATGGTCAAGGACAAGGATACACCCTAATTGAGTATAGTAGGGCATGTGTTAGCTGCAGCGTCGGACGATCAAGAAGAGTATATCAGGGCGGTGTCCCTTATTGTCTTTGATAGGTATTAAGAGTGGAAATATGGGTTCTACTCTTATGATAAGTGACGCGATGGAACTTTGGTTGAGAAGTCGATGATAAGGAGTACGGTAGATCATTACTTCCAGACTAAGAGTCAGGGTTAATATCGAACGGTTGGGGAGGTCCGGTGATGAAATGGTGTGAGATTATCAATGACTAAAGGCAGTCATGGTAGGAAGTTCTGAGGATTTCATCTGAGTTTCGGGGCATTGGAGTTGCTCGCTCTCTGTCAGGAGATCATCGACCGTTGTGTAGCACCTTCCAGGAGTCGGTGCGATGTTAACGGTGGAAACAGTCTGTGGGATAGATTGCTGGTGCAACGATTGGGGTTGGTTCAAACCCTAAGTGGGGGAGAACCGGGTAATTTATTGAAGGGATTAGAGATTCGATCGAGAACGGTTAGAGATCTGGATACGGAGAGATCGGCAGTGCGAACTCATAAGCCCAGAGTTGTTGGTGATTGAGACGAGGTGTAGAGCAAGATGATGCATGTGTTATGTTTGAAAAGGATGAGTGCCTCCACGGCAAGTGGCCGTTGATCGGAGACCTTGGGGTGAACGGAAATTCTTCAAGGTCATAATGGTGAATTCGAGATGGTTGGCTCGTAGGGTGAGTTGGCGGTTGAGAAATTCTGGTTAAACGATGGGGCTGTTATTCAGCTTGGAAAGGGCAGAAGTTGATTAGACAACCAATTCCAGGTTGTGGAACAGGAAAATCAGTGGATGAGACGAAACGTCGTGAGGTCCCATGTGGTGTATCGAGGTATCCGAATTTAATGCATTGAATTTCGGATAATTTTGAGTCTTGAGTGGAGACGGCAAGTGGTGGGTCAAGTATCGATGATTCCAGTGAGAGCCCTTTCGGTTAATCACAGCAAGTGAGAGTGTCCGAGAATATGGATTGCAGCAGAAGAGGGTGTTTTGTTATGACGATTGCCGCCATACATAGTGATGCATAATTTGGGTAAGTGCACGCACCTATCTATGTTTGACCCGCGGATTGTGAGCTAGTCAGAGGTTGTTCTGATGCTACGGGAAGCCGTTGTACTCACAAGTCAGAGGTTGTTGTGATGCTACGGGAAGCCGTAGTACTCACAAGTCAGAAGTTGTTGTGATGCTACGGGAAGCCGTAGTACTCACTAGTCAGAGGTTGTTGTGATGCTACGGGAAGCCGTAGTACTCACAAGTCAGAGGTTGTTGTGATGCCATGGGAAGCCGTAATACTCACTAGTCAGAGGTTGTTGTGATGCTACGGGAAGCCATAGTACTCACAAGTCAGAGGTTGTTGTGATGCTACGGGAATCTGTAGTACTCACAAGTCAAAGGTTGTTTTGATGCTACGGGAAGCCGTAGTACTCACAAGTCAGAGGTTGTTATGATTCTACAGGGAGCCGTAATACTCACAAGTCAGAGGTTGTTGTGATGCTACGGGAAGCCGTAGTACTCACTAGTCAGAGGTTGTTGTGATGCTACGGGAAGCCGTAGTACTCACCAGTCAGTTAGAGGTTGTGGTGATACTGCAGGAAGCCGTAGTACTCACCGGTTAGTGAGAGGTCGAGGTGGTGCTACGGGAAGACATAGCACACACTAGTTAGCGAGAAGTTTCTATGGTAAAGTACTCTTTGATCAGAGCATGGCGCAGAGAGTTTTGGGCATGGGGTGGCCCTGATTGGTGAGTTTTTGGAAACCTGGTGGTCGGACCAGGGGCGAGATCGGGGTCTCCTCAATGTTAGGGGATTATTATGTTCTGAGTAAGGTGTGGTCATTGTAATCCGAAAGAATGGGATAAGTGAGGTACGCATGAGTTGCGGGAAATGAGTTCTGAGTTGAGTGCTTCGTTGAGAAGAGTGGTTCCAACTCTGGGCCGGACCAAACCCTCGAGTTGAGTTTGGCTCTGGTGGTACGTTAAATAGGTGAAATGAGATTCTGGACTCTGAGGTGGGTTCCATGTTGAGGAGTATTGTTTGTCATCTGATGTCTTAGACCTGTGTTGGTCAGTACTCGGGTATGGGAGGTACCGTAAGTTGCATGGATCGATGAGTAACAGATGACAGAAGTCGAGGTTGAGTCGATCTCTAGTTGGGGAGGTGGCATTCGCTTGGGTTAAGCGAACTTCGTTATTCGTGTGTCACCTTGAGCCGATGTGGTTGTAGTAAGAAGGAAACCATGGAGACGGTTGGGATAATGCAACGGATGACCCTGGAGGTTCAACTGTTGGGTCGAGATCGGATCTGGTACTCGGTATTAAAAAGGGAAACGAGGGATGCATCCGAGGCTTATGATTTTAGATGTCTGAGGACTTCTGAGCGAGCATGATTCTCTTGTGTCAGAGAACAGGATGTTTAAAGTTTATTGTTCGGATGGATTCTGTTAGTAGTTCAGTGGATGAGCCATAGTGAGATGTAAACCCTTTCGTTCCTAGGGGCGTGATTCGGACTGTTTTGGTACGTTGGTATGAACGATCGCTAGTCGATTGTCGGATTTTGTTTTGTGAGAATCAGAGGAGCAGTGAGTTATCAGGGTTTGATGATTTGAAGAGCGAATATCATGATGATAGCGTGAGTGCAGGGTCTGGCGGCAGGCCAGGCCACTAGAGTTTCCCGATTCTGGGAAGGTCAGAAAGGGGTATTATAGCGGCAGAGGGGCCGGTTTTGTTCCAAATTTGGAGTTCCTGGTCAGATCCAGGTATTCATGAAGAAAAATATCGTTTTGGTGCGAGGACCTCTCAGTGGTGTTTTTCGTGTGTTTGGTTTCTATCTATGTGGTTGAGGAGCGATTTCGAGGGCAAAATCTAATTTAAGTGGGGGAGAATTGTAACATCCGAATTTCCAGGTATGTTGTAAAGTTCATTTATCTTGAGTTTTATGGAGGGACTCGGCGAGTAGACGCTCAGACTCGCTGAGTAGGAGCGCGGATTTCTTGTCTTACTTAATGAAGGACTCGACGAGTCGATGTGTGGACTCGGCGAGTCCACGCTATAAAGTGAAACCCTAATTATCGGGGCCTATGCCCTATTTAAAGGCCTTTATAGCCTCCATTTGCGGCTACTTCATCCCAGAGAAACCCTAGAGAGAGCAGTAGGAGAGTTGAGAGCAAGAAGAGGTTAATACATCACTTTTGGTGTAGTTTTGCTAGAAGGAAGAAGGAAACACCCATCTAGAGCGTGAAGGGGGCTTGGATCTGGGCTAATCATCTTGAGAGTTCATCTCTGGAGGTATAATCCTTTCTATTTCATGTTGATATGATAGATTTCATGATTTTAGGGTTTTTACCTCCATTCTATGTAAGATCTAGTGAGTATGAGGTCCCCTTTGTGTTAATAGCATCAGATCTGGACCATTAGAGGTCCATAGAGTCACTATCCCTCAGCTTTATGCAAGCAAATGAGAGATTGGGGACTAGGTTGCCATTTTTAGAGTTATTTCTCCATTTGTGACTTGATGTGGGTTGCATGCACGTAAAGGTTGCACCTTTACGTGACATTTGAGCACTTGAAGGGTAGATCTGATAGTTAGGGAAGCAGATCTGACCTTAGAAGGTCATTTGAGTAAGAACATGGAGGCAACTCCCCGAGTCCATAAGTGGACTCGACGAGTCGAGTCGGGGTTGCCCCACGATTTGTGATAGGTGTAACCCGTCGAGTGAAAGGATGACTCGACGATCCAAGACAGGCTGAAAGGATTCAGAGGACCCGCATGGACTCGTCGAGTCGCCCTCGTGCACTCGACGAGTCGGGTCAAAGTTTGACCGTTGACTTTCGTTGACCTTAGGGTTCTGGTCAAGACTGATTCAAGAGAGTTCAGGGAAGGGTAGAATGGCCTTCTACCCAATCTGTAGAGATGAGGCTATGAGAGAATATTGATCGAGGATATTATTTGAATAATAGGAGGAGGCTAAGTCGGGACGTTGAGCACGAGAGTTTATCCAACTTCATTGAGGTGAGTCTTCTCACTATACTGTACCTGGAAGGGTACCTATGTGTGACCGGAAGGTCTTGTATGCTATGAGATGTATGTGCTATGTGCGGTTATGTGATACGTATGTGCTATGTATGTTATGTATGGTATGGACCGGAAGGTCAAGATGATATGGACCGGAAGGTCAAGATGACATGGACCGGAAGGTCAAGAGGTTACGGACCGGAAGGTCGATACGGGTACGACCGGAAGGCCAACCGGGATTCGGGACGGAAGTCCCCTGAGACACATGGATCGGAAGATCCTACAGAGTTATGGCCTGGAAAGGCGTATGTGTTGTATGTGGTATCTTGGGGAACTCACTAAGCATTTATGCTTACAGTTGTTATGTTATGTGTTTCAGGTACTAGTGATGATCGCGGGAAGGCGCCGGCATGATGCGTACACACTTATGGAATTTATGTTATTGAGATTCTGGGACATGTTTTGTTATGACACAGTGGATACATTATGTTTTGCGATTATCGTGTGATTGAAAGTATGTTTTAAAAATGAAAAATTGTTTTGAAAATTTACGTTGTTACAATTTAGCATGAATGGGATCGCCTTTTCATTGTAAACATTAACATTTGTCAAAATGTTAAACACTGTATATAAGAGCACATCACGCTACAGTGCATTTACACTGTAGCCTGTAGACTTTGTTCCACTTTCTCCCGTACTCCCTATTCCCCCACTCACGCTTTCTCTCTCTAAAGAAATTCATCAGTTCGCTTCAAAGCGCCTTCTCCTGTGCTCTCTCTTCCCCACCATCCCGTCAAAACTTCTCACACGCTTCGTGAAAAATCTATCGGTTCTCACTCGAAGAACCTTGATCGTCACCTCCACCACCAACATTGACGCGGTGGGTCTGGCGGCTACAGGCATCAGGAGTCATCAGATCAAGCAGGTAACTAAGCCCCAAGGTCTTCAAATGTTCTTGAACAGGAACAAAACCCGGCTAATGAGTAACATCTCTCTCACTCTCTCTCTCTCCCCTCTCTCTCTCTCTCTCCTCGCTTAGTGTTTTGGGTAAAGAGATGAAATTTGTTTGTCATAGTCTTGATAAAAAGCTTGAATCTTATATTACATGATTGTTCTTTTGTTCTTTCAGATCCACGTACCTAACAAGGAACAAAACTCAATTTTCTTTTGTTCTTTGAGACCCACACAGGTAAAAATCCCTTAATTTTTTAAACCAATGTTAAAAGTGGGTTTGCTAATCTATGTTGTTTTTCATTTTTGATTTTTGAGCTTGGATCTGGATGAAGATTAACAAGATCGGGAAAGAAGGGTTTTCGATTTGGAGCAGGTAACAAGCAATTTCTTTTTCCAGATCTTTCAGTGAAATCTTGAAACGAAATCGTTTTCTACATCCTCGATTTCGTCTCTTTTTTCATCATTGATTTTGGTTTTTGTTTAGGGATTTATAGCATATCTGGAAACTGTATTATTTCAGGTGAAAACATGTATATTTTAATGTAAACCATAACATGTTCAACTATATTTTCATCAGTGTTCAATCCTCCCCATACAATAGACATAATGTGCTGCATAGTCCATTCATTGTTATATCTCTTGCTTGACATGCGACGTGTGGATCTTTATGTTAGAACATAGAACTCATTTACAGTGTACTCAAATTATATTAAGTCTGGAAACTCTGAGGGTTTGGATTCACTAAATACTAAATAGTACTCTTAATTTCAGAATATAAGCTAGTAAGAAGATTGTGCAATTACATAACTCAGTTGTTCAAATTAATAACGACAAGATGATCCATTTAATGAAATTTACATGTTAAAGCACAATGCGTGTAGCTAATGGTGACTTCCAATTTGTGAGTAGAAGAAGCAGAAAAATAACTACCCAGGTTAGAAAACATACAAATTTTAAAGCATGAGGTACGATTGATCAAGGTTCTAACAAAAAAAATTAACGTTTCAAGCCATAGTGGTTCGATCCTAACGAAATTGAAGGTGTATAGGAGCTAGAACAAGATCTGCTTCATTTGAACACCAAGTTTCAATTGTTTGCCATCTCCATCTCAAAAAAAAAATCTCTTTTGATTTTGTTTCTATGATTTGATATAGGTTGCAGGTGGAGGGTCTTCTCTGGGATACCAGTTTGTTGACGGTAAGAACGGATATTATTGTAAAATATGATAATCAGGTATTTATTTGCCATGGGTTTGTTTGGATTATATGTGTGGTCCAAAGAAAACTTAGCAGATTTCGAAATTAAGAATTGTAATATATGTTTGTTCCTAATTTCTCTTAATGACAGTTACCATGCCTATAATTTCTTTGGTTTGATTTTATGTTTTTCTATCTGCAACAGACACAAGGTTAGTTTCATTTTTTTTCTTAATTTTCTATCTACATATTTTCAGGTTTCGTCCCGTGAGTAGACTATTGGTGGGTGTGAAGGAGGGCAAGGTTCAATTTCATGTTTTTTTCTTAGTTTTCAATATATTATCTTTGGCATTATAGCGAATAAGTAGGGCCATAACCATATGGTTCTCATTTCCTAGATTATCAATCATATATTCATATCGGTCCCGATGTTCACCCCTATTTAGGAGAAGGATTATATTTTCTAAGAGAGTTTTGCATTAATAAGGAAGTTCAACTAATTTATTGTAAAATTTTGTTTGTTGATATTTTTATAAAGATACTCAAGCTTGATCAGTATGATAAGTGTGAATTACTTGGTCTTTTAGAAGTCCCCGTCTTTCCTAGCTGGAATAAAATGCATATCTTTTCAATTTTTTTGTTTTGTAAACGAGGCCTACAGTGAGTATATCCTAATCTATACCCTTTTTGAATTTTTGTTTTTGATGAAATGAAATTGTCCCCTGGTGTGGAGCATGGTCTTGGGCATCTAACGCTTACTAAGATGCAAGTAGTCACGCCAACAGGTATGACGATGGTTTGTTTTTCAGTGAAGTTTTTATATTATGGAAATTGAAAGTTTGTTTTTCAATCGATTGTTTATATTGCGGAAAATGAAAGTGAGTATATTCTGACGCATGCCCATGTTAATATTTGTTGCAGGATCCGTATATAGTGGAGGTGACTTCTACAAAAACATTGCAATGTCTTTATTGTTTGGAAAGCACTTTCTTTGTAACATACTAATAACTCCATAACCAGCTTATCAATGTAAAACATTGATGTCATAAACCGTTATAAATTGCAATGACGTAAATATTATATTATTCTTTCCCCAAATAAAATAGTTACATCCAATCACAGTATATGTTCAATCAAACCAACCTGCTGTCTTTTGGTTATAATAAAACAATAATATGTTAATAGGTTTGAATTTAAAAAGTCTAATGCTATAATCATCGGGAGTTTCTAAGTCCAATGCCTAAATAGGAAAACAGAAATGCATTGCATAAATATGTTAGATTTTCAAATTCTAATGTCATACTAAGAAAAAAATGGAATTAATAAATCAAAATAACTTATTGTATCACAAACTTTATTGCTTTAAGTCCCGCAGCAACGCGCAGCTTAAAAACCTCGTTACCTACAAGATGCAGTGGTCAATTTCAGATGAAAAACACAAAATGATGATGAATCGAGAAATCTAGAGAGAGAACACGGTTTGGGGTTCACGGCCGTAATCAAGAAATTAAGGGTAAAGAGGTTTACTGCCGAGAACCCTTGCTTTTATACCTGGACCTATACCCGGTCCAAAACCCATGGGCTGCAAACCCAAGAAGCTTCAAATCTATGCCCAATACTTCAATTTTCAAAAATAAAACATTTTGAAATACTTAAAATTAAAATTAAAATTAAAATTAAAGAAAATAAAATTCTAAAAATTTAAACTAAATTAATTTTTTTAATTTTTTATTTTTAGAAAAATAAAAAATAAAAATTAAATAGTATAACACTAATTCCTCCTTCATCATTGCTGATATTATTTTTGTGATTTTGGGATCAAAGTTTTTGGACAGCCTTAATCCATTTTTCGGTACCTCCACCTTCATGAATAGATCTGGTCAATCGTCGGTATTGTGATCCACTTAAGCACGAAAGATTGTGAAAAATTTGGACATGCTACAAGTGACAAGACATTTTACCCTATGTACCTAAATAATATTCCTAAAGGACCATTCAGCTGACGACGACCAAGGATATTGTTGTCCACCTAAATTTAGCAGCGAGATCTACAGATAACCTCTTAAATGTTCAGTTTTAGATGTACTAGAACGTGTTTCCCGCTTCCTGATATACCCCAATAATCAAGGACTTCCAAAATACTCCTTACTTTAGATGAGCAGACAATTATTATGGGTGAAGTCAGATTTAGAATGCATATGTTGTAGACCCAGGTCAGATCTCTTCCAATCACGCAGAGGGATTAACATATGACTAACCATAGTTAGAGGGGTTGAGAAGTAGAATGGTGCATATGCTGTGTACCAGGTCGAATCTCTTGCAATCACGCAAAGAAGACAACATATGGCTAATAGATAGAAAGAATTGCATAGATAAGAAGATGCTGAGAGATAAAATTGTATATGTTGCAGTCCAGGTCGGATCTTTCGATCACGTAGAGGAGGCAACATATGAATGACAGAAAGAAAGCAAGAAAATAACCTTCTACAGATCTACTTTATCGGAATTCCCCAGTCGCCCCGTCAGTACCAGAATTAAGGACATGAGTACGTACATCGAGGAAAAGTTAAGCCACAGTTCTAGATACAGATTATTTAGTGTATCCCGCAGGTTCCCATGAATATCTCACTGCTCAATCTACCCGAGCAGCGTATTGTCAGACCAAACGGGACTATTTAAGTCAAGGATTGTCAAGTGTTTTCTTAGTTCAACTATGCCTAGTCCAGTCCATATAATCTTTCGTGCCTACCAGCGCATTGAACACAAAGCCTAGACAGTTCAACATTGGTACCTTACACAAGTGAAAATTGCCTGTTATCACTTATTGATATCACTTCCCAACACATCACCTGCAGAAAACTATCATGAAATACTATTTTTGGAATTTTCATATTTTCTGAAAAAATTAAACAGAAATAACACTATTTTTGAATTTTTGATTTTCTGATTTTTGTTTTGTTTTGATTTTCTAATTTGTGTTTTGTTTTATTTCTTTCCTAAATTTGTGCATCAGAGAGAAGAGAAAGTAAATGCGCAAATTTAAACTACCTAAAACAAAAATTTGTCTTCAAAACTTATCTTTTTTAGAAAGCCCACAAGCACATCGAATCGGGCTTTGTTAAACGGTTTGGTGAACAGATCCGCCACATTATTATCAGTGTGAATCTGTTCAAACCGGATGAGCGAATGCTCATAACAATCTATGATACCAATAATTGATTGGAGTTGATGTGAAGGCATAAGCAAGGCAAGATATCTTGAGTCCATGAATCATGGACTTGAAATCATTGTGTTCAGCTGGTGGATCCAACAAGAAGAAAATTCTCTAAAATCAAAAGAAATTTCTACTCTGCAGCTCAACCTTGGAGCCGTGACCGCCGGTTACTTCGACCTGAAGAACAAACTTATAGCAGAATTTGGCGACAAATTCAAAACAACTGTCGAAGAACCAAGTGTAGTCGAGACCTCTCAAAATGCCCCTGCCAATACATCTCAACCAGATCCTCCAGCCAGAACCACAAGAACCGTTGATCTCTTTGAGACCGAACCAACCCAAGCTCATCCAATGATAACTCTGAAGCAAGGTCCAAGACAAGTTACTACTCAACGAAAGGGAGATTTCCTCTTCATGAAAAACTCTGAAAAAAATGTTCGTGGAGATCAACCTCAATTGACCGTAACTGAGATTGGAAAGAAGCGATTCAGAGACAAATATGGCGACCGGTCAGGAATTCTTATGTAGGGTTTTCATGAAAGATTAAATTGCTGGATGGTGAAGAGAAAGAGCAGAATTGTGGAGTATTACAAGGACAAGCTTGACTTTTACTCTTGGACGAGGGTACATCTGTCTGAACTTGCTGATGCTCCCTTCTCCAATCAAGCCGATGATCCCCGCGACACAGAATTCAAGCTTTTTCTATAAAATCAAGTACAGAGAAAATTTTCTGGAATGAAGACCGCCGAATCCTTCATAAAGAGCTTCAAAGTTGTGTTGGACCCAAAGACCGACTTTCGCTTCAAGACTGTGATGTGGCCTCTTACTAACCAAATGAGACAGATTCCTATCGTTCAGAACTTTTGTGATGGATCTCTAAGAAATATGCAATATTAGGTCTATGATGAAGCCACAACATCTGCTGTCATTAACTTCCCAAATGGTGTGTTTCGTTTGGTTGATAAGAAGGATCTGCTTCAATTTGGTGAATGGGAAATCCGCACTTTGGCTCAACATCAAATTTATATCGATGATGAAATTCTGGAGGTTGAGGCAAAGGATTTCACTAGGATGATAGCGGAGATTATCGAGAAGAAGATGTGGCTTGGGGCAATGGGGAGGTCAGACGTGCTGATAATCGTAAAAAATTGAGTCCATGCTAGCCTCAAACCAAGGTGGAGATTGTTAGGTCATATTTTATTGGTTTCGGCTAGGCATCAATTTGTATAGGTCTGAATAGGGTTTTGGTCATATAAGGTTAGGGTGTGCAGTTGTCTGTTTGCGGCTGTATGGGTGTTCACGACCGTGAACCTGTGTACGGCCGTGAACGTGTTCTCGGTCTTGGTCCCTTATAAATAGTGTGTCAGATGTGTCAGATGTACGAACGACAGTTGCATGTGTGTGTTATCCAAGTGTACTAGACGTTTATAGCCCTAATAGAACGTGTGTATTGTTGGATTGATCTTGCTTCTACTCCTTCTTATCCTTATTGATTATAGCTTGATTGTGTCTTTGATTACTAGTTGGTTCCAGATTTGGGGATTTACACTTCCGAATCAAGTCATTGAATTTAGATCCATCGAAAATGACCCTCCCACACAAGTTCATGAAGGAGAAAGAGCCAGAAGCGCTTGAGCGAGAAGCGTTTGCGGTAGACATCTGAAAAAGAAAGACAAAGTTTAGATTAGATAAGAATCCTTAATATAACACCCAAATGAAAAATTAAGTCTAGGACGCAACACAATATTTTACAATTCGGAAGAGGGATTCCGTAATCTAATTGCAAAATATTTCAAAGTAGGTAAATGACGATTTACCAATTTCCACCATGAAAAACGAAATTGAAGATTTTTTTAAATGAATTGAAATTCCTAGATTCTTTTGAGATTCATGGAACTTTTTAATCGCATGTTTAAATCTTGATTATGCCCTTCAAGTTTGTGACTGGGATACCGAGGATCACAAACAAGGTGTGAATAACCATGCAAATGTGTGTGGTACTCTTGATGTCATTTATCACCTAGTCAATGTGTCGGTTAACCACACACGCTCCATTGATCTATGATAAACATCAAGCTACCCTTTGGCACCCTTGCTAGTCTAAGTTAGTGTGCCGGTTAACCATACACGCTCCACTAACGACTTAGCAAGGTGTTAAGTGCAATTTCAAGGGATAGCATCATTTTCACATTTTTCCTAAAGTAACTAAGATTGGGAATTTTTAAAAACATTTAGTTACTTTTATAATTATCATTATACTTTTTAAAGAGAA